CAGCACTTAAATGGAAGGTATCGCTTGGGATTATTGGAACTATCATGGGTCTATTCCATGGATCTCATTATTGCTCTGTGTTAAATGACAGCACCTATCAACATATAGGCATACAGTCAAGTCCCGTTAATCCGACATTGTTGGTTGCATATGATTATGTCGGATTAACGAGTATGTCGCATAAACGAAATTAGGTAGTATAAACGTTCGTGATCGAAAATTGGACAACTACACGATAGATAACGATACGAACACGTAGGAAAAGGAAAAATTAATTATTTATGTTGTTGCGTTACATTGTCAGCCGAATATGTTTTCTAATCATGCAAGCACTAAAGTTTAAAGTGTATATAGGTAGGTGCTGTCAATACCATAGTGACATTAGACCATGGCTATATATGGGCAGCTGATGTCATTGCCACAGAACATTGGGATTGCTGAAGGTCATTGTTACCACAACAAATATGCAGGTATATTATCACCATGTCACCATGTTTTGTAAAGTAGTTACAAAAGGATGCAAGATATAATATATTGTTAAATATTTACTGTGGGGAGTTGATAGTATCAAATGTTTATTTACACCTGCTGCCAATGTAATAGCAATGTGATGGCGGCTTTGGGTCTGGGAATTTTTTCACAAAAATAATTTGTCCCAGGATATCATTGGATATATACTGGAAAGATAATTTTACCTTCTGGCTCTTAAATTTTTTTTTATTTTGACTGGTTAGACTTAACAAAACATACTGTTCAACACAGAAAAATAATTCAGTGACCAAACAAATCTGTATGAAACAAGACCTCTCTCCTTCCAGGAACATAAGTTGGTCATGTTTTCATAATAACATTTGGAGAGAAGAAGCCAATCCACAAAAAGGTACAGAAGCTCACCTTTGTTAGGTGATATACATCTCCCCTCCCCCCACCCCCCCCCAGAATTTTTTTATAGAAAACAGTTTTATTTGAATGAAGTTAGGGACAAGTGATACTTGTACAAATATTTGCCCCCCCTGTCAAAAAAAGTTTACGGCCTTGACCATGTGTAAATTACTACCACTCATGATCAAAAGAAAAACAAATTGAACAGCATTGCATGTATTTTATTGATATGGGAAATACAATCGAAACTATCGATATTCATTACTGAAATTGATACTATTGATCAGAAACTGATTTAACAATCGATATATTGACTTTAAGTGCTAACCAATAGCAATATATCGATATTTCAATTTATCGTGACACCCCTACCTAAATGTACACTTCACCTTTATGATCTTCTTTCAAGAACTGCCTCTGTGGTCTAGTGGTAGAGCGTCCGCCCGGAGAGCAGAAGGTTCGGGTTTCGATCCCCGGCCGCGTCATACCAAAAGACGTTAAAAGATGGTACTTGTTGTTACCCTGTCTGGCGCTCGGCATTAAGTGGCTAAAGCAAGGACTGGTCGGCACGGAGTCACTTTGCTGTGTCTGAGTGGGGTATTCATGTTAAACTGCGGCATGGTATCTCAGTGAGCTAGCACTATAAATTGGCATCAGTCCGGACTAGTACAAGCAGCCACACAAACACACACACGTACATGCACGTCGCTATATAAGTGCAATAATCTTGGACGCGACGTTAAACCCCATTTCACCTCACCTTTCCAGAGCAAACTATTTAACCTGACAATTCTAAATAATAATACTAGAGATTCATGAGACATATTGAGTTGTTTCAGGGTCATGATTGAGAAGCAGGGTCATGATTGAGAAGCAGGGTCATGATTGAGAAGCAGGGTCTGGCACTGACAGCCCTCATGTTCATAAAGTTTGTTTTTACGCTGCTTTTAGCAATATTCCAGCATTATCATGGCGGGGGACACCAGAAATGGGCTTCACACATTGTAACCCTGTTGGAAATCAAACCCAGGTCTTCAGCTTGACGAGCGAACACTTTAAGCACTATGCCACCCAACCGGCCCTATTAACAAGGTAAATGAATGAATGTTATTTAAAACTGTTTCACAGTGTTCCTAGTGTATCAATGCCTCAAGTACATTATCCAGGCTGGATCAGACAAAAACAGAGGTTGATATTATGAGCACCATCCCATACCATCAAGTACGATGACACACAATCAACAATGTCACCAAGCCTGACCAACCAATTCACATGAGTAGATTGTTACGAGCGATAGTGTGCTGAGGCCCAATGGGACAAAACTGGCCTGTTGGCAGACTTGGGGGTGAGGTGAAATTGGGTTTAACGTCGCGTCCAAGATTATTGCACTTATATAGCGACGTGCATGCACGTGTATGTGTGTGTGTGGCTGCTTGTACTAGTCCGGACTGATGCCGATTTATAGTGCTAGCTCACTGAGATACCATGCCGCAGTTTAACATGAATACCCCACTCAGACACAGTATACTGACTCCGAGCCGACCAGTCCTTGTTTTAGCCCCTTAATGCCGAGCGCCAGACAGGGTAACAACAAGTACAATCTTTTAACGTCTTTTTGTATGACGCAGCCCGGGATCGAACCCTGGACCTTCCGCTCTCCGGGCGGACGCTCTACCACTAGACCACGTAGGCGGTCTTTTGGCAGACTTGAGGTGGCAAACTCAACTCAGATTCAAAACAGATTAATGTATCTAGGTTTGGATCAAGCTTATGTCCAGATTACCATAATCTCAGGATGTGGGAGATCCATAGTTATTTTTATATACATTTAAGCATAGACTGAAGGATATATTTCTCAACAGTAGCACCAAAGTATTTCTGAATCACTTTATCTGAGCAATTACAGCCAAGTAAAATCATTGTTACAAACTGAAAGATATTTAACTTGTTTAAATGATAAAAGTTTAATCAGAGCTAATTGTAAACTTAGAATTTCATTGCATAATTTTAATGTAAATATATGTCGCAGGTCCAAAGACGGTGATATTGTGAACCCTATTTGTAAAAACTGTTCATCCGGAGAAGTAGAGGATGAATACCATGTTTTACTTATATGTGAAACGTATTCCCATTTAAGGTATAAATTTCTCCCCATGTTGCAAGGTATTTTTAAAGACCGTCAGTTAATGATAAATCTGCTAAACTCTGAAAATCCTGATATAATCCATGCTGTTTCTGTATTCTTAAAACATGTCTGTATAATGAGGAATGTGTAACTAGATTTAAAATCTAACCATGTACGGTACGTGACAAATGTTAATATCCAATCTGCATTGTACTATGGGCCTTGATGCCTAAATTACTGAATAAACTGTCGGTCACAATTGATGCGGGTATTTGACATTTATTTTACAGGCAGCCACATTCCATTGATGCTATTATAATCTGTAAGAACAGCACCAGTACTAGTGTATAGCAGTGATGTCATAATTAAGACAGTAGTTACACAATACACATTAATTAGTCAACAGAATAATACAATCTCATTAAAATCAGATCTTTGTACTCGCTACCGCTAAACAAAGATCTGAGGACATCCCATTAGGGGTCACGTCAGAACGACCTTTCATCCGACCAATCAGAGCGTCGCTTACCAGATCATGAAAGTGACAGTCTGAATCTGTTTTCTAATCATGCAACCACGAAATATTTAACACGGGGTATTCCGAATGACAGTTACAGGTTTTATGATTATATCCATACAATCAATGCTATCTATAAGCCATTCCAGAGTGTTCTTCTTATCAGTTTTAATTTTTTTAATCGAGAATACGTCAAAATATGTTTCGAAGAGTAGTCGCCATTTTGAAACTAGTGTCGTAAAGCTCGAGAAAGCTGCCTTCTGATTGGCTAATGTAGATTTCTTGCCAGTCATTTCATTGTTTGGTCAAAATTTGTGAAAGGTCGTTCTGACGTGACCGTAATGGGATGTCCTCAGATCTTTGTTTAGCGGTAGAGAGAAATAAGATCTGATGTTAATGAGATTGCAGAATAATATATATAATATGCTGTTAGAGCGCATCCATACCCTACCATGCCAACAGCTCAAGTTGTGAAGGATAATCATGACTTAAACACTTTAACATTGGAAGCAATTGAAAAAGAACTACAAACTCTTTAACAGTTATAAAATATTTATGAATTAAAATTTAACAATTTGGTCAAGTCAGTCTACTCTTACCTTGTTCTTGTTTTCATATAGCCGTTTTCATCAATAAAAATATTTTTAAAAATCGATAATACTCATGTATAATCAATACAATACTAGGGCTGGGATGAGTCCAAATTTACTACCCTGGTACCAACCCCCCTATTACCCACCCCTACCGGGGTACCCAATGTTGGTCTCCGGAGATGTCTCAAAATGTCCGAATGGGATCATTTTTAGCATAGCCCTGGCAAAACGTATTAAGATACATGTATTAAACAATCTGGCCATTCATACACTGAAGTTGAATTAAGTTATATCTTTATTCAACCATATGAAAAATCAGAAGGAATGGGTGCATAGTCAGAAAGAAATGCGAACATTAGTGACTTGTAGTGTAACCATAGAGATTCTAAATAATTTTGGTCATTAAACAATATATCACGTGGCTAACCACGGGTCCGGGTAGTCCTGTGGGTACCTGGGTCCTACTCAGTACCCACCTGACCTGGGTACCTGAGTTACCCGTCCCAGTCCTATACAATACAGTCAAATACAGTTACAAACAATACAGTAAGTGATACAATGCAGTAAAAATTTCTTTTTTAGAAATCTGTCTTTTTTTTTTTATGTTTTCCCTCCCGCCTTCTGGTAGACTGGGAATAAAAGTCTGTGAAAGAAGTCGTCCAATTGGTCAGGCCAATCAGTTGGTTGGTTGGGTGGTTGGTTTGTTGTTTAACGCCGCACTCAGCAATATTCCAGCTATATGGCGGCGGTCTGTAAATAATCGAGTCTGGACCAGACAATCCAGTAATTAATATCATGAGCATCGATCCACGCAATTGGGATCGATGACATGCATCAACCAAGTCAGTGAGCCTGACCACCTGATCCCTTTAGTGAGTTTAGTCGCCTTTTACGACAAGCAGAGTCACCTTTTAGGGCAAGCATGGGTTGCTGAGGACCTATCCTACCCCGGAATCTTCACGGGTCTAGGCCAATCAGTAACATCACATGATCACATTCCTTGTACCGGGTAAGTGAATCTCTATGAAGCTGTGCACACATCAACCACAGGCTCCTCTCTGGTAAAACCATCCCCAAAGCCCACAGCCTCCACCAAATCTGGTTCATCATCACACATTGGACATCTCTGGTTCCGAACCCGCGAGGACCGCATCCAAATGATCAAGTTATACCTTTCCCCATCCTCGATAGGCATTGCTCCATGAAGATGCTGCCCCCTATGAAGAAGTCCAAACAGAGGCTCATGGTCGTACCGACTGTATGTCTCTGTACGTCTCTCCGTTCTCATATCACCAAAATACAGAGTCCCTCCATCAAACACTTTCCCGAGAGCTACATTCAATGTAATTTCTGCGTTGTCATAGTGATAGCTGAGGTCAAGGTCATCCCCTAGTTTGTAGGTCACAATGAAGGCCTTGTGGGAGTCAAGGTCGTTACCGCCCCAGTCTGGGAATAGGATGGATGTGATTGGGGTCAGATAGTTTTCTCTCAAGGGATTGATGAAGTCCTCGTCAAAACCCAACTCATTCAGTAAAATCTGAAAGTGACAAGCATGGTCTTCATCTTATCCAGTGGAATACAAGTTCATCATGTTCATCATGTTCATTCGGTTATGTTGAATATCCTGGACCCATTAATCATCATTTTAGACCCTGATTAGAATGGAAAGGAGCTAAAAATAGCCGTCCAATCAATTACTCTGTGCTAAGTTAGTGATATGGGAGATTGAGAAGGTCACTTCTGCAAACAAAGCTGTGGAGTTGAATGGGCCAAGGGTACTTGTCATAAAAGAGTGAGTGAGTGAGCGAGTTCGGTTTAAAGCCGCTTTTAACAGTATTCCAGTTATATTGCGGCGTGTCAGCTTAATGTGGGAGGAAAGCCCCAAGTGATGCAGGTCTCAGACGTTTACCACTTCGGTGAAACCCACTAGCACGGGTATGGTGCTGACAAACCTAGAAACATAATCGGGGCAAACCAGGATTCGAACCCACAATCATAGGTTTCTGGCGTGCCCGAGGGACGCAACTCTGCACAGCGAATCGCGGAGCCTTAGACAACTGGGCCACCCGTGCCCCTTGTCATAAAAGAATTAAGAGATATAATACCCTGTATAATCGCAGATGAATGGTTGAAGATGGGAAAAAATATTTTTGTCGAACAATTAAAATGGGAAACTGAGATTCTTAGATTGTCATAAGTACTCAATAAACTTTCTGACAAGTCCATGTTTTATGCATAAATTTGTACATGTCAGTTCACAAATATTTGTTATTCAAATAAATGTATCAGAGTAATATGCCATTTACCCCGTATTTGTTCATGGTGTTTGGCCGACCTTTAGGACAGTCACTGTTCTCAAAGTGTTCCAGTTCCTCCAAGAACAGATCACAGAAGCCCTGTTGGAACACTTGGAACATGTACATCCGATTCCCTGGAACATACAGACAATACCAGAACATGTACCTCAGTGTTCCTGGAACATTCAGACAATAACAGAAAATATGCTACAGTGTTTCCGGAATATACAGTCAATAACATAACATTTACCTTTATGTTCCTGGAACATACAGACAATAACAGAACATGTACCACAGTGTTCCTGGAAGATACAGACAATAACAGGACATGTACCGAAGTGTTCCTGGAACATTCAGACAATAACAGACCATGTATCCCAATGTTCCTGGAACATACAGACAATAACAGAACATGTACCACAGTGTTCCTGGAACATACAGACAATAACAGAACATGTACCACAGTGTTCCTGGAAGATACAGACAATAACAGGACATGTACCACAGTGTTCCTGGAACATTCAGACAATAACAGACCATGTATCCCAATGTTCCTGGAAGATGCAGACAATAACAGGACATGTACCCCAATATTCCTGGAACATTCAGACAATAACAGAACATATGCCACAGTGTTCCTGGACGATACAGACAATCACAGAACATGTACCACAGTGTTCCTGGAACATTCATTCAATAACAGAACAGATGCCACAGTGTTCCTGGAAGATACAGACAATCACAGAACATGTACCACAGTGTTCCTGGAACATTCATTCAATAACAGAACAGATGCCACAGTGTTCCTGGACGATACAGACAATCACAAAACATGTACCACAGTGTTCCTGGAACATTCATTCAATAACAGAACATATGCCACAGTGTTCCTGGACGATACAGACAATCACAGAACATGTACCACAGTGTTCCTGGAACATTCATTCAATAACAGAACAGATGCCACAGTGTTCCTGGAAGATACAGACAATAACAGAACATATGCCACAGTGATCCAGGAAGATACAGACAATAACAGAACAAGTACCACAGTGTTCCTGGAAGATGCAGACAATAACAGGACATGTACCACAGTATTCCTGGACGATACAGACAATAACAGAACAAGTACCACAGTGTTCCTGGAAGATGCAGACAATAACAGGACATGTACCGAAGTGTTCCTGGAAGATACAGACAATAACAGAACATATGCCACAGTGATCCAGGAAGATACAGACAATAACAGAACATGTACCACAGTGATCCAGGAAGATACAGACAATACCAGAACATATACCTCAGTGTCCCTGGAACATACAGACAATACCAGAATATGAACTTCAGTGTTCCTGGAACATACAGACAATACAAGAATATGTACAATGATGTTCCAGTCTCACCGGGGACCTGTTCAACTATGTGATCTTAGTGGTAACAGACCTTTTGGAGGAACGGGACCCAGGTCCTTGGGAACTGAAATAAGAAGGGCAACTCACCATCCTGAGTGTGCAGCCTCTTCCTAACAACATCTGCTGTGACACCCTTAGTCTTGCACAGCGCCACAAGATCCAGGAACTCTGGTGCCAGGTACTCCTCCTGTGGTAACCAAGGCAACTCCTTGTTAAATACCCAACATTTGGATGCAAAGTCAGGGTGAGTGAGTTAGTATGGCAGTGCAAACCTGTGGCAGAGGGGCGTTATGTTGCAATTGGCAATATTCCAGCCAAGAATGGACTTCACACATTGTACCCATGAAGGATACTAGCTCTCTTCACTGGAGCCATGATACAGCTTGAAAAAATACTGCAATATTCCAGCCATAGCACTGCAGAGGACACCAAAAATGAGCTTCACACATTGTCCTCATGTGGGAAATTGAATGCATGTCTTTGGTGCTATGATTCTCTAACATACACTGGCACATCGCTCAACAACCAGCAAGCAAACCTTCAGTTTGTATATATCTGCATGAAGAGGTCGGTATGTTGCAGATATCACTGTCCGTCTTGCCAGCGAGGCTCTTCCCAGGCCTCTCCTCCTGTCAATCTCCTCTTGGATCTAAAACATGGAGGAAGGTTTATATTTCTGAAACTTGCATTAATAACCTAAACTACACTAAGTAAATTTCTCTTTATTGTGTGATGCTAGATACAACCTCATTAAAATCAGATCAGAGTGCAAACGCTATACAAAGACCTGAGGACATTCCATTACAGGTCATGTCAGAACAACCTCTAGCGAACTTTGACCGACCAATGAAATGGCTAACAAGAAATTGACATTAGCCAATCAGAAAGCAGTTTTCCCAAACATTATGTCACTATGTAACAAATGTTATATTTGGGATAACACTTTCTTAGTAAAGTACAGAGTCCTGTCGGGGGTTCGAACCCACACATGCCCTCCAGCCACCATCAGGATTTTGGTAATAATGGTAGGCTTATACCATCCAGTGACTGACTGGTCATCTGACAGGAATCGGCCGATAATCTCCCAATACCCGGACAGTGCCCGTCCGATGTAAGCCAAATCGTGTGGTGCCCGGATGAATACCTCCGTTTTCTGCTCGCTATAAAAGGAGCCCGCATTTCAGTTGATTTTGTAAATTCGGGGAGTCTGATCCATTACCACTTGGCTTGTGGCCCACCAGTCGCCGCAAGAAAATAACTCTGAAGTTATTTTCTTCCGACATGTCCACCGGGGTCTTCCCGATGTCAAAAAGATGGCCAATGCTCACAGATGATCGTCCAGCGCCCCCTCGGGTATCTCTCAATTTTGCCGATTTTCAGCCTTTTTAGGCATCGTAAACTAATCCTTCCCGGCATCGATGGTATGTGACTGAGGTATAAGTTTAGTAACTCTGGATTAGAATGAGTGCCAAGCAGCCTGTGTTTGTTGCATGAGGTGACCTACTTAATCAGCCACTAATTGGGGGTGCCTTCTCACAGACACATTACCTCCTCTGTTTATGAATCGGACTGACAGGCCCAGTGATTTGGTTAATTGTGTGTAATGGACTATTGCTCATAATATCAATCACTGGATTGCCTTGATTATTTATACACCATCATATAGCTAGAATATAAATGGGTGAAGCATTGAACAACAACAAAAAAACATTATACAAATCTGGTACTTATTTTAATGGGGGGCGGTCGGGTAGCCTCGTGGTTAAAGCGTTCACGCCAAAGAACCGGGTTCGATTCCCCACATAGGTACAATGTGTGAAGCCCATTTCTGGTGTCCCCCGCTGTAATATTGCTGGAATATTACTAAATGTGGCGTAAAACCAACTCACTCACCCATTTTAATGCAAATAGGAGTATGCACATACTGTAAGCCATGCAGGCAGTGTACAAACAAACTTGACAATCTAGTCGCTCAGACTGACACACCACATCAGTTTGTTAAACTTTCTACATCAATACCTGTGTGACGACATCCTCAAGCTGCTGCTCAGTGTCGCAACCTTTATCTCTAAGAACCTGAAAAAAACACCCAATTTATTTATTATTAATTATTCATTTTAAGTGGCGTTTAGAAGTTGGCATGATGAACGAGGGAGATAGTTCTAGTGACACTTGTAACTTCGTTATTATAGTAAATGTGACGTATCAGTGTAGATACCATCTTCCCCAGGCAAGAGAGTTAACTGACTTTAAAAGTCCAGTTTCCACCCTTGCCGAACTTGGCTGGAATTACTGGGCTCAATCGTAGCGCAACCAGTGGCTATTACCAGTTATGTCCCTTCTAAGCCTCTCCTATGGACCATATCACTTGCGTTTGCTTCACACAAAATGGTGGGACCCAGTCAGGATGATCTTATCGATAATCGAGATCTATATGGTGATAAAACGGGTCTTACATCACGAAATGCATCAAATCACATGCGCACCTTGACTAAAAACATGAAAAAATTTGGAAAATATCTGCTGACAACGAGTTGGCAGTGCACATGTTTTGCAAATCCTGCAATCGACCGAAATCTGCATGACAGTTTACGAACCGGATTTCGATTTTGGTGCACGATTTTGATTGGACTATGCATAGACTCGTTAGTCCAGCCAAAATGCAACTCAATAATACCAGCCTAGTTCGGCAAGGGTGGAAACTGGACTTTTATAGTCAGTTAACTCTCTTGCCTCGGGAAGATGTGTAGATACTGACACCATTATCAAGAAAGCAATGGACAGAAATGTGAAGTAGGAAGGTTATATATATATGGATAAGAGATGTTAATACAAGGCTGAATGATGATAGATTGCACCAATGGACAACATAGACCTCTCAATACCAATCCCAGGACACATCAACTCTTTACCTGTTTAAGGTAAGATTCTGACCCTGGCATACCCATTGCGCAGCGTGTGTAGACCCATATACAACAGAACTTCATTGAGTTGTGTGAGAAAGGTACGATTTAAGGAGATTTGTCTTAAAAATGAATTAGGAGATAAACATACTGTGTTTTCAATGTAGAGCTAGGTTACCTGTTGATTTAACCGCGCTAAATTGAATTTTGAACCGAACGCGCAGCGTGAGGTTTCAAATGTTAAATTTGTTCCAGTTCAGCAAAAACTCCCTGATCCACCAACCCATCAAACTCAGCCAGTAGTTCATTCATGGCTGCACAACTGTAATACATGAGGTGTCTCTTTTGTTGTGGAGGTAGTGTAGTGCAATCAACTTTTGGTGCATTTCCGATCCAAGGATGCTGTTAGGATCCAGTGATATATCCTGAGAGAATGGTTTGACAAGGTTGGCTAAATCTTTGGCGCACTTGTAACACTTCCATGACTGACATAGGAATTTTTTAGTGCAATACCCGAGATACTAAAACATGAAATGTGTAAAACTAAAGTGATGCATATGATCATGTGGAATGTGCTTTTAAGACGGGTGCAGGCTAAAATGGCACCTCAGCAAAACGTCACCGATTTCTCTGGCGAAAACGGCACCGCATTTGGCGAAAACAGCTACTATGTGTCGGGCGAAAACGGCACCTCTATTTTTAATAACGATTAGTTCCGTTTTTATTAAGAATACGCCTAAGGCCTTGAAGTTTCCTAGTTTATTTTGTGGGTTTAGTATTGCTTCTAGAGTTAGAGCCTTGTTTAGATTGAGGGTGGTTTGTAATGCGGTTCGATGTGTTAGGTAGTGTGTGCAGTGGATGAGTGCCTGTTCTGGGGTTTCTGGTTGTTTGCAGTGTGGGCAGTTACCTGTAGTGTGTTTTTTTAAAAACATTAGGTGGTTATTTAGGTTGGTGTGTCCTGTTTGGAGTTTAGTGATTACTCTGTCGATTTTTTGGTATGGATGGAGAATTTTTGGTTTGGTTAGTGGTTTGCTGAGCACTTTTTTGATTTGGCTATTTGAGTTTAGATATAGGTTATGCCATTTTTTTGTGATTTTTTTGCTTGTTTACACTTTTAATTTCTGATTTTGAGATGGGTAAGTTTAAGCTTATTTCTGGGATTTTGAGGGATAGTTTAGCTGCTTTATCGGCGTTTTCATTACCGTATATTCCTACGTGGGCGGGTATCCACAAGAAGGTTATTTGTTTGCCTGCCTTAGTTAGGTCGTTGGCGCTTGCAAGTTACAATGTAAGTTTAATATCATTTATTTGACCAAGGTAAAACAAAAAATAAGGTGCCGTTTTCGCTCGAGTCAAGGTGCCGTTTTCGCCAATCAGTGCCGTTTTCGCCCGGTGACGTTTTGCTGAGGTGCGGTTTTCGCTATAACCCTTTTAAGACAATGGCGATGACCGGTACCGTAAGTCAAGGGAAAAGTTCTATTTCCACTGTTTTGATTCCCTATCGTAGCGTTATGACAGAAATCAAATGAATCTTATTCCATGGACAGAAATAAGCGCATTTGCTCATAGTTTCACAAAAAAAGGGTTATTCTAACAGTCAACTCTGTACACGGAATATGTCAGGGTCAAGAGCTAGATCGAGTTTGAATCGATAATTACTGAATCTGGTACGCATGACATTACTTAAAACAGACCTTTTCAAACTGAGAAATGAACTGTTTCTTGTTTTCATATTGAATGTGGATACCAAACTGTTTCAGAAAAATATTCTTCGTGTAGAAACACCGACAAGAGTAAAACGTCTTCATGAAGTCGCTCTCAAAAACAAATGAGAGTTACCTCCTCTTTCAAGTTGATCAAAAGTAATAATTTGTAAACGAAACTGACTTTGTGTGTGTAAATTGCGTTCCAAAGTAATATTTCAAAATATGTTGTCTAAGATAAAAAATGTACTTATATGGTTAGGTAAATAAAATATTTGACAACAAATTTGTATTTTATTACGTTATTTCACATATCCGTGAGAAAGAGTAAAACAGATTTCGGTTGCGTTTCAATACACAACTTTGTTAAACAAAATGTCAGCTCCCAAGGAAGGCACGGATTTCTGGGATAAACCGTTGCCAAAAGATATATGGCTGGTATGTTCACGTTGCAAGATGTATTTTTAAATATTGCGTTTACTGCGCCCCTGTCGCCTGTCATCGTTGTCATGTTTGGAAATTTGGTGAAAGAAGTCCGACATGACCTACCAGTACCACCGGCTCCGTTAATCACTAGTAAAACCTTCTGATTTTCTACATTGATGCGTAAGGGCCATGTGTAAGGACGTCATATGCTATGGAATGAAATATATATTCTCCAGCTGGGGTTACCGTATCACCTAAATCCAACAGCGCACCTTGTCAGACCTAGCTAGTTTATATAGTGTTTTACTGTGCATAATATGAATTATGATGTTGACCGATTGACAGTGCTGAACACAAGTAAATGCAGTCGAGTTAATAGTCCATAATAAGCCAATTTTGAATCCTCGAAAAAAAATGTGATCCATATTTCAATACTTTCAAACTTGGGGAGTTGCACATGTTTCCCTTTAAGAGACGATCAGTATTCAGCATAAGATGAAGGGGTCGTTGTCAGCACGTGTACAATCGATATGTACATTAGCCTAAATCGGAATACAGAAGGTACCTGGTACCCTAAACGACAGATGAGTCCATATTCCTCAAACTGAAACCGGTTCATGTTGTAGTTCCAGTTCGCCTGATCACAAGTGCATGCAAGATAATCCTGTATATTGCGGAATATTAGAGTAACATACATACCGTATTCGACGTAATAAGCGCCCCGCTCTAATAAGCGCCCATGGCGATATTTGCTAATATGTTGGCTAGTAAGCAATCCCAATTAGCACCCCTTCCAATTGATCAATGTACACAAGACTTATTTATTCGCGTATAATACACACTCGTGTGTTATATGCACCCTTAATTATGGGGAATGTAATTCTGGAAAAATATATCTGTTGTACATAAACATTTCAGGCTGTCAGCATAATCCACGAAATTTATCTTTCAACTGTTTTTTTCCACCAAAATAATATTCGAATAAGAGCCCCCTATTCCTAATTTTGAGAGCACCCTGGGCGCTTATTACGTCGAATACGGTACCCTCACTGAGTATGCTCATTTTGTATATTGCATGCCCGAATGCATCTCATACAACAGTGTAACAGTTCCAATTCATTTCTAGAAAAGGAAATACGGAGAGAAAATATATAATGTGTACTGCCATGTTGAATTTTCCACGGTTTGGCATTACGTTTTGTATACATAAACATTCAAGGAACCGGTTTAGTGAATTGCGCAATGTGGCCTGCTGCAGGATGGATGCATCCTAGGGTACCTTTCTGTATTTTGATTTGGTTAGGGTACATTTCTGTATATTGACATGTATCTGGGGTACATATCGGTAGTACCCTGCCAACAGCAACCCATTCAGCAGTAGTGAGATGAAGAAAACAGGAATGGATGAGGGGTAACTACAACTACTATATTCTCTTGTTTCGTTTTAGTATTACCTATTTTCAACCCCCTAAACTGTGAAATCATGTCATTTCCCTCAAAACATACTTGTTGCTTACATATATCATTTTGTATCTACATTTATTGTTTAGATAGACGGGGTAGGTTGATTAGATCTTATGCTTATGTCTATTTTTTCTCAATAAGATTTACAGCTTTGCGCTAACCTGTTTATTATGATTATTTCAGATTTTTTCAATTTGTTTTTCAGCTGAGACCTTGTGAACTCTACAAAGAAGAATATTCCGACTGTGAAAGTAAGTCAGTATAGCCTCGATCACTAGTCCGAAACTGCTAAATTGTGCTGCTGACAAGTACAAATCCAGAGATGGTAGTGTCATTGATCAATGGCATTTGAAGACATTAACCTGAACCAGTTCTCAATGCTTCAATTTTGCTACAAATTAGAACTGTGTTACCTGATAGAAAAAGGAAACATAGTTTCTGCTGCAGTGACCACGCTGGGTATGCGCTTATCAGGTTATCATGTGACTAGACTTTTCTCTTCTTTGTACATGTTGTAAACAAACACACTTATTCAGACATTAGGACAGAAATTGAAATGAGGTTTACACTAGTCCTCTCGACTAGTCTCTAAAAAACTAATTTCGAAGGCTGGGTTGATCGTGTGATTTTAGATGTCATGCTTATCATGCTGGTAGCAATGGTTTGTGATTTGGCTTGTATGGTCTTCATCTTATAAAAGTATTCGCCTCAGCAAGTACACACAATGTTATTAAATACCCTATTCGACGTAATAAGCGCCCAGAGCGCTCTCAAAATTAGAAATAGGGGGCTCTTATTAGATTACTATTTTGGTGGAAAAAAACAGTTGAAAGATAAATTTCGTGGATTATGCTGACAGCCTGAAATGTTTATGTACGACACATATATTTTTCTAGAATTTAATTGCCCATAATTAAAGGTGCATATAACACACGAGTGCGTATTGTACGCGATTAAATAAGTCTTGTGAACATTGATCAATCGGAAGGGGTGTTAATTGGGATTGTTCACTAGCCAATATATTAGCAAATACCGTCGTAGGCACTTATTAGAGCGGGGCGCTTATTACGTCGAATAGGGTATGTTAAAATCAGATCTTTAACTCTGATGCAATACATGTCACCATGAATGTCTGACAGCCCCTCCATCATGTCCATAGGAGGTCATGTCAGGTGAACTTTCTAATCAGCCAGTCAGTGCTGAGGTTTCTTATTTCGCACCACGAGTGAGCAAAACATTCTGAGCAGCATATCTTATTTCTCTTTCTTGAAAACGAACTGAAACAACCAGATTCAAATGTAAATGATAAAGGCCATGCCAATATTTTTATGTCATTATTTTATACATCCTGTTGTTTCTGCGCAGCTTTACATCTACTCAAAACAGGGAGTACCATCTTTATTATTCTCCATTCAGAACTGCATGCCCATTTATTTGTTTTTGAGATACAGAAATCTGTCAAGCTGGTGCTTTGCTCAATCATACTGAGAATTTTGAAGTCTCCACCCTGATCAGCTGATTAGAAAGTGCACCAGGGCCCACTTGCACAAAACGATTTTAGCGCTAAGACTTTTGTAAGCCTATGTTTAAGTATGGGAGTTAAGATCATCTTAGCGCTAAGATTGCTTTGTGCAAGTGGGCCCTGAAGCGTCCTCCTAAGGAGTCCTCAGATCTTCACACACAATGCTATTGTATCAGGGTAAACACGGTAAAAGATTTGGATTGTTATGAGATTGATATCTGAGCAGAGTTTTGTGTCAATCTCTCTGTGTGTATTGCAGGTCTAGGGGGACGATTCCACCAGTACTACATACACGGCAAGAAGCAGGACTGTCAAAGATGGAAGCAGGACTATGAGAACTGTATGGCGTTTCGGCGGTCTCCATCGGAAGAAGTTGTGGTGAGGGCTGTTGTTGGTCACCCATGGGGATTCCGGGTTAAAATTGATCCCCAAGAACCCATGCTTGTCGTAAGAGGTGACAAAATGGATCGGGTGATCAGGCCTGGTGACTTTTTGATTGTTTGTCATTGTATCCGAATAATGTTGATCGTTGCTCATAATATCAATCACTGGATTGTCCCGTCCAGACTCAGTTATTTACAGGCTGACTTCATATAGTTAGAATTCCACTCATTTGTGTCAAATAGCAAACACAGACGAGCAATATTTTTGCTTTAAGGCAACTCCAAATAGTGGGATATGAAACCTAAGGACATGATGGCATGCAGAAAAACAGAGCTATTAGTAGTGATCATCATACTTATTAGAACTCGGAGGAGTCCAAATTTACTACCCAGGAACCCATCCCCCCTATTACCCGATCCTACCCGGGTACCCACTGTAGGTCTCAAGAGATAGGTACAAAATGTACGATTGGGAATTTTTTTTACCATAGCCCTGGCAAAACGTATTTCGATACACATATTTAACAACCTGGTCATGCATACACTGAAGTTGATTTAAGTTATATCTTTATTGAACCATATGAAAAGTCAGAAGGAATGGGTGCATAATTTTTGTCATTAAACAATATAATACGTGACTAACCACGGGTCCGGGTAGTCCTGTGGGTACCCAGGTCCTACTCAGTACCCACCTGACCCAGGTACCCAAGTTACCCATCCCAGCCCTAATGCTTATATGACAGTAGGTCGCAATGAATTAAATATTTATGAAATTGAGAGGCAGGAGGCATTTTATATTTTTCATGTTTATTCACTTTAACATTTAACATGAACTTTATGAATATTTGGTAGGACAATGTTTTTGGTGTATGTCATCAAGTATACATGGTAAAGAAAGGATACATAGTGACACTATAGAGATTATTATAAGAACATGTGTGTCATACCGATTTTACAAAACGAGTGTCAGAATTCTTGTATTTCCCGAGCAAGCATGATTCGTAAAATCAGTGTGATACGCATAAGAGCGTACTAATTTCTTTGTTACCCAATTGTCTTCATCCTTTTGAGCTCCCCTTTAGAAAAATGCACTGATCACCACCACTGTCCTAGAAAACTACAATTTGTTGGACGACGGCAACAATCTTCAGCTATGACGTCATTTCTCGTGTGACGTCATTCCGACCTTACGTCACAATGAGCTTCGAATGATGTCAGGGGCGGTCAGGTAGCCTAGTGGTTATTGCATTCGCTCGTCACGCCGAAGACCCGGGTTTGATTCCCGACATGGGTACAATGTGTGAAGCCCTTTTTTGGTGTCCCCCGCGGGGATATTGCTGGAATATTGCTAAAAGCAGCGTAAAACCATACTCACTCACTCACTCAGTCACTCACTCAGTCGAATGATGTCAACAATGCTGTCCAAATGACGGAAACAATACACTGGTGCATGTGAAGTGATATTTACACTGGTGCACATACAGTTTTATGAACTCGGTTATTTCTAACCCTATGGGTAATAAAATAGGATATGAGCTCCCAAAAGTCTGCAGAGATGAGAATCCACGCAAATTTCTGCGAATTTTAGTGACCACAAATTTCATAAAATCTAATGACTTCCCCCCTAAACATCCCCAAATTATGGACCACGCTCCATTGCAAAGAAGTTTCAGCTGAAAAGGAAAATATCCATTCTCATCCCTGGGTCTGTAACCATGGTAGCAGAAACTAGGATTTACAGTGAATTTCAGTATGATTTGCGATTGTCTCTATCTGCTAATTTGTTTTATGTTTTTGAAATGGTAGTACAGTAAAGTACGTTTATAACAACCATGCTTATAATGAACTGACGGATATAACGAACTGATTTTTTTGTCCCGACTATTTGCTATTGTTATACTGTATGTATGCTTATAACAAACTACGGTTATAACAAACTAAAGTTAGTGGTCCCTTTGAGTTCGTTATAACCGTAGTTTACTGTATTTTTTAATAACTTGTCAAGGCTGAAATACAAACAAAATAACATGATGGCTTAGAGTAATCTTTAGGGCAGCAACGATACAGGAAGGTCACGATACGATACGCATCTTGATATTCTGGTCACGATACGATACGTGTCTCGATACGCAATGATAAAAAAAACAAGACTTAAAGCATGTCAAGATTGAACCTTTCATGATTTTGGAACAGTCAAAATTATTTTATAATAACAAGACTACTGAAGTTGTTCAGCTTCAAAGTGGAACTTTCTCTAACTTTCCTTAAAAACAATTCAAAGTTCAAATACCAGATAATAATTAATGTGCTCCACCAGTGATACAATGTCAAAGAATTTTGATGCAATGGTCGAAGAAATTGTATCTGAATTTTTTGTTTTATCAGGAATAATATATTCCAATATCGTGTTACCTTAGTTGCAGCTTTTACTATATATATATTTAAAATTATAAGAACCACAAGTGTAGCATTTTGATACTGGTGATTGCTGTTGCAGGATATTTTTACGTATAGAACAATTTGACCAGTCACCCTAGGGACTTCCCGTGCTACATGTATTTCGATTGCGAAAACGTTATGTTGACATATATTAGCCAAATTGCCACAAATATAAGTTCGTTTCAATGCGCCAAAAGCGGTAATCTGACCGTGGTTGCTGTATCTCTTCACACACAATTTCACCTAACTTAATGAAAACAATATTAAATGAAATTTTGAGTAAAATTAATAAAATATATTACAAACACAAGTCCAGATATATAATGAACACGTTTTAATAACAAGATAGTATAATAATGGTATTGAATTGCGTACTTCAGTTCGGACTTGCTGACTTGTATTTCCATTGTTATGTGCTTGCGGGGATCAGCTGATAATGTTTTATGAGATGGGGAATAAACATCTGTCGGTGTAAAACCTGAGCTTATTAAAAATGTAAGTACGTTTTTGGGAGCCATGCGTTACCGCGCGCTATAACCAAGTTAGCGGTTTATTGAAAGGCACAATAGCGAGGAAACGCTGTACTTGAGATTTGCGTTCCGTATCGTGGCGTATCTATAAATGGGCCCACGTTTATCGTATCGTATCGTGGGTCAAGTATCGCGATGCATCGGAATATCGGTGTATCGTTTCACCCTTAGTAATCTTCTTATTGCCAGTTGTGTTGAATGCCAATAGCTAAAATTGCTTGCCTGACTCCTAAGCTTGTGCTCATGACTGTCAACTCCATGGTGATTCTGGGTTAGAATAGGTCCCCAGCAACCTAAGATGCTGGTAGGAAGCAAGCTGGCCAAGCTATGTGACTTGGTTGACTACCGGATAGCGTGGAACATTGCTCAGAATATCAATCACTGGCTTGTCTGGTCAAGATGAGATAATTTATAGGCCATGATCATATAGCTGGAATATTGCTGAGTACAGTATGGAACAAACAAACAAACAAACAAACAAACATGACTCTCAGGTATGCAGTGGTTCTTGAAGTTCTGGGTAGAGTGAGACTGGTCTTAGGACTGAATCATATTTTTCAGGAACCCTATGATAGTGAGTGAGTACGGTTTTACGCCGCTTTTAGCAATATTCCAGCAATATCACGGCGGGGGACACCAGAAATGGGCTTCACACATTGTACCCATGTCGGGAATCGAACCCGGGTCTTCGGCCTGACGAGCGAACGCTTTAACCACTAGGCTACCCGACCGCCCCGAACCCTATGATAAACCAGTTCCTTAGTGTCTGTCCATCATGATGCACTGTTGGTGGAATATGAGACTGCTATAAAGGTAACACTATTTTTCAGGGCATTATTATATGCAGAAGTCCGAGGTCTTCCATTAACTGCCCCTCGAAGGAGGACTTCTGCAAATGATAATGCCAATGCCCTTAAAATGATAATGACCTGAAAAATAGCGTTACCGTTATTATAGCTAAAATGGATAGAATTTTTTAGCAAATAAAAGGAAACAACAATATCAGTTTTGAAACATTTACTGCAATCAACACGAATGTCACTGACCCACTTTTACAAATATGAAAACGTCATAGATCAAACCAGATGACGTCACTATTAAACGTTACGTCACCTATCCCTATCCTATGACGTCACCTAACAACGGGCGTGATAATGGTCCGTCAATCTGAGGGCATTATCATGTTACAGTGGCCCGCTCATTTCTGATAACATGCGGGCGGTTAAGTGATAATTCTATCCATCTTAGCTATAATACTCCATGAGACACTCTCTCTCTCTCGCACGCACGCACACACACACACACACACACAGACACACACGAGTGACTTGTACTTGTATATAGATAGACCCAAGTAAATCCCTGGTTTTATTCATTCTCTATTTTCAGGAGAAGATTCTGCAGCATGAGCGCGAGAGGCGGGAGGAGAGACTGTCGGACGCCCGTGGCAATGATGTGTGGGAATACAGGAAGGAGGCGCCGCAGGATTGGAACTCTCCAGTCATCAGGACTCCACAGCCTGGCCAGACCACCATTCTAGGGAAAATACAAGAAACAAAGACATCACAAGGAACATTATCACAAGCTGAGAAACAGAGCATGTGTGTTGTGTCCTGACGCTGGAGCAGAAATTAGTCAGTTACCATTGCAGCCCTCCCAGTTATGGTAACCATGGCAACCCTCACAGTAATGATTAACATGGTAACCGGAGCCAGATAGTTACCATTTCAACATGAAGATTGTTGTCATGACTACAGCTGTTGGCTATTAAAGCTCATACAGGTAACCATAGCAAATGATGGTGGAGATGGAACCATAACCATGGTAACCAAGATAAACAATATTACATTATATGTTTCTTGATGGATGTGAGTGAAGATGTAGCACGTGATTAGGATGTGTGTGTTGTGTGGCCTTAACCCAGGAAAATATTCAATAAAACATTTGTATTATCACGGATTATCTTTTCTCTCTTACATTCTACCGCTTCCTTGGACCCGTGAAGATTCCTTGGTAGAATAGGTCTTCAGCAACCCATGCTTGCCGTGAAAGGTGACTATGCTTGTCGTAAAAGGCGACTAACGGGATCGGGTGGTCAGGCTCGCTGACTTGGTTAATGCATGTCATCGATCCCAATTGCGTGGATCGATGCTCATGATATTAATAACTGGATTGTCTGGACTCAATTATTTACAGACCGCCATCATATAGCTGGAATATTGTTTAGTGCGGCGTTAAACAACCAACCAACCAATCCTTGGTCTAGTGGATAGAGCGTCTGCTTGGAGAGCAGAACGTCGGTAGTTCGATCCCAGGCCACATCATACCAAAGTTGGTTAAAAGATGGTATTTGTTGTTACCCTGCCTTGTGCTCGGCATTAAGGGGATAAAATGGCCCCGAGTCCGTATACTGTGTCTGAGTGGGGTATCCATGTTAAATTGTTATCTAAGTGGAGTAGCATATAAAACCAGCACTAGTCAGGCTAGTACAGCAGTCACACACCCACCCATGAACCCCCACAGGCGCAGGTGCATGCACATCGCTATATAGGTGCAATAATCTCTGATATAAAAACCCATTTCAGGTCATGTCGCCTCTCTAACATTCTTTGCATATCCCAATTCACAATTCACTTGATGGTTACTTCATACTCGCCTCTTATTGGAGGCTGGTACCTCTCCGAGATCCTGTGCCTGATGTGTTGTACGCTGCTTCATACCCGTCCCTTAGTGGAGACAGGCGCTTATCAGATCCATCACTTATTAGAAGCAATACAGTATCCAGGTAACGGAATAAGCTGAGTGAGTGCTTATCCTGGCAAGTTGTCTCCTTTGGTTGGCTTCATTAGGCATGCATTGTTAAACAAGTATGATACAGGGAAGGGGGAGGATTTTTCCCTCATGTGAACACACCCTAATTACTCAGTGCTAAATTTCCCCGGCCGCGTCATACCAAAAGACGTTTAAAGATGGTACTTGTTGTTACCCTGTCTGTCGCTCGGCATTAAGGGGCTAAAACAAGGACTTGTCGGCTCGGAGTCTGAGTGTGGTATTCATGTTAAACTGCGGCATGGTATCTCAGTGAGCTAGCACTATAAATCGGCATCAGTCCGGACTAGTACAAGCAGCCACACAAACACAAACACACACACACGTACATGCACATCGCTATATAAATACAATAATCTTGGACGCGACATTAAACCCCATTTCACCTCACCACCTCAGTGCTAAATAACCAAAACATCTTTGATGACTGCAAGAGGTACACAATGGTGACCATGTTTATTTCATCTGATGATGTTGAGTACAGATACAGACAAGAGTCTCGGCTGTGCATATTTAGTGTACTTTTCTTGCTTGTTCTTCAACTGAAAAATAAAGTTTTACGAATATTTTAAAACAAAGGTTAATGTTATGTAATTCTTTTTCCTGAAGAAGGGACGATAAAACAAAACTATCAATAAACACAACCAATCACTATTACATCCAATTGTAACGCATCTACCCACAACCACAACCTCCCCATCAACCTACAACCACCCATCTACCAACTACCACAACCTCCCCATCTACCCACTACCACAACCTCCCCATCTACCCACTATCACCACCTCCCCATCTACCCACTTCCACAACCTCCCCTTCTGGATACATCTACCCTCCACAATATCCCCACATATCTGCATCTACCCACTATCACAACTTCCAAATCTTCCCACTACCACAGCCTTCCCATCTACCTACATCTACCCACTACCACAGTCTCCCCATCTACATACATCTACCCACTACAAACTCAACATCTACCTACATCTACCCACTACCACATTCACCCCCTCTACCTACATCTACCCACTATCACAACCTCCCCATCTACCCACAACCACAACCTCCCCATCTGCCCACAACCACAACCTCTCCATCTACCTACATCTACCCACTACCACAACCTCCTCCAACAGCCTACATCTACCCACTAGCACAACCTCCTCCAACAGCCTACATCTGCCAACGACCACAACCTCCTCCAACAGCCTACATCTACCCACTACCACAACCTCCTCCACCAGCCTACATCTGCCCACTACCACAACCTCCTCCAACAGCCTACATCTACCCACTACCACAACCTCCTCCAACAGCCTACATCTGCCAACGACCACAACCTCCTCCAACAGCCTACATTTACCCACTAACACAACCTCCTCCACCAGCCTACATCTGCCCACAACCTCCCCCAACAGCCTACATCCGCCAACGACCACAACCTCCTACACCAGCCTACATCTACCCACTACCACAACCTCCTCCACCAGCCTACATCTGCCCACTACCACAACCTCCTCCAACAGCCTACATCTACCCACTACCACAACCTCCTCCAACAGCCTACATCTGCAAACGACCACAACCTCCTCCAACAGCCTACATTTACCCACTACCACAACCTCCTCCACCAGCCTACATCTGCCCACAACCTCCCCCAACAGCCTACATCTGCCAACGACCACAACCTCCTCCACCAGCCTACATCTACCCACTACCACAACCTCCCCAAACAGCCTACATCTGCCCACAACCTCCTCCAACAGCCTCCATCTACCCACTACCACAACCTCCTCCAACAGCCTACATCTACCCACTACCACAACCTCCTCCAACAGCCTACATCTACCCACTACCACAACCTCCTCCAACAGCCTACATCTACCCACTACTACAACCTCCTCCACCAGCCTACATCTGCCCACAACCCCCTCCAACAGCCTACATCTGCCAACGACCACAACCTCCTCCAACAGCCTACATCTACCCACTACCACAACCTCCTCCACCAGCCTACATCTGCCCACGACCTCCTCCAACAGCCTACATCTACCCACTACCACAACCTTCTCCAACAGCCTACATCTGCCCACTACCACAACCTCCTCCAACAGCCTACATCTGCCCACTACCACGACCTCCTCCAACAGCCTACATCTGCCCACTACCACAACCTCCCCCAACAGCCTACATCTGCCCACGACCTCCTCCAACAGCCTACATCTGCCCACTACCACAACCTCCCCCAACAGCCTACATCTGCCCACGACCTCCTCCAACAGCCTACATCTGCCCACGACCTCCTCCAACAGCCTACATCTGCCCACGACCTCCTCCAACAGCCTACATCTGCCCACGACCTCCTCCAACAGCCTACATCTACCCACTACCACAACCTTCTCCAACAGCCTACATCTGCCCACTACCACAACCTCCTCCAACAGCCTACATCTGCCCACTACCACGACCTCCTCCAACAGCCTACATCTGCCCACTACCACAACCTCCCCCAACAGCCTACATCTGCCCACGACCTCCTCCAACAGCCTACATCTGCCCACTACCACAACCTCCCCCAACAGCCTACATCTGCCCACGACCTCCTCCAACAGCCTACATCTGCCCACGACCTCCTCCAACAGCCTACATCTGCCCACGACCACAACCTCCTCCAACACCCAAAGTGCCTTGTTGGAAGTATTCGAGAAGGAATTCTCCACATTGGCGTTCATTGTGACATTTAAGGGAGGTTCCACCTGGATGATACTTACGGAGTTCTACTGGGCACTGGATGCAACATGGCTCTGGCCCACAAATGATACAGTAGTAGCAAGGACGGGATCTTGCTGGCCTCATTGCTGTTATAGGAGGAAGAAGATGGTAGAACGAGAACCTTAAATTGTCTGCCAAAATCCTGTGCATACATTAAAAAAGAAATTGCCATGGATTTTTCAGAATTATGCATGATAATTATTGTATATGTACAAACAATTTGTCATGATGACCCTGAAATTACACGTGCATCCCGCTTATTACAGACATAACATGCCTTTAGTATGAAATTAGTCACACTTTCACAGTATATAGGGACAAAGTCAATTCAAACAAATTGTAAATTATTAAGGTGTTTTGACTGTGAAAAACAAACTGTTGACGGCCAAACCTCGTAAATGTTATGTCACACCTATCTGGAAAAGAGCGGTTATGTGCAATTGGAATGCATTAAACCGTACATACGCAAAACGTTGTTGCTAGGCGTTTTGGTGTTCATCGTAATACCATGCAGTCACTCTGGGGTCGGCACCAACAGACCGGCAACACCAGGGACTGATCACTTTCTGGACGTCCACGAGCACAGCAAAAAAAGTGGAGGTTACCGTCTTCCGGAAACCTTTTAAGATACCTTCAGCAACCTTCAAATTTCTTGGTATTTTCAAGATAATTTTTTTATGTGTTTCACACCAAGGTGAACCAAATGCACCCCCCAAATTTTAAATTTTTTTTTGTAAGGTTTCCGGGCCGGATCCAAAATGGGAAGGTATCCGGAAGGTTTCCGACTTGTTTTGCTGTGGAGTATAGCCACGTTGGCAAGATAATCCTATCTGTCTGGTTAACCTGTTTAATCGGTTTCAGATTGTAACCTTGACAGCCCGCAACATCCATGGCATACAGCCGATGAGTGCAAGGACTGTTAGCAGTCGATTATGAAAGCATGACATCCGACCACGGCGTCCAGTTGTACGTCATCGAACTGCACGTCCTGCGTGGTCAAGACATCTAAGGTTAAGGTTACATGACTGGAGGTGAGCCGCTTCACAGATGAGTCCAGGTTTCACCTTGACAGCAGGGGGGCACCGCGATTCGCTGTGCAGAGTTGCGTCCCTTGGGCACGCCAGAAACCTATGATTGTGGGTTCGAATCCCGTTTCGCCCCGATTTTGTTTCTAGGTTTGTCAGCACCATACCCGTGCTCGTGGGTTTCATCGAAGTGGTAAACGTCTGAGACCTGCATCACTTCGGGGTTTCCTCCCACATTAAGCTGACCCGCCGCGATATAACTGGAATACTGTTAAAAGCGGCGTTAAACCCAACTCACTCACTCACTTGACAGCAGGGATGGCTGTGTGTTGTTCAACGTACTGCATTCGCTGGTGCGGGTCTAACGGTGTGGGGAGGCATCGCTGCATATCACAGGGGCACTCTTGTGGTAACCGATAGCAATTTAAAATGTGTAGGGTACCATGACAGGGTTACTGGTCCTTACCTCCCTTTGACGTCCCATCACTTCACAGAAGGACAGTGCACAACAATGTGCAACATGTATTCAACACTGGCACAACACTGATCTGACACTGACACTGTTTTAAGAGTGATCCGATATTGGTTCAATAGTTGTCTAACACTAGAGCGACACATGCCCAACACTGGTAAAACAATTGTAAAACACTGATCCAATACTGGTAAAACAACTGTAAAACACTGATCCAACACTGGTAAAACAATTGTAAAACACTGATCCAATACTGGTAAAACAACTGTAAAACACTGATCCAACACTGGTAAAACAATTGTAAAACACGGATCCAACATTGGTAAAACAATTGTAAAACACTGATCCAACAATGGTAAACAATTGTAAAACACTGATCCAGCATTGGTAAACAATTGTAAAACACTGATCCAACATTGGTAAAACAATTGTAAAACACTGATCCAACACTGGCAAAACAATTGTAAAACACTGATCCAACATTGGTAAAACAATTGTAAAACACTGATCCAACATTGGTAAAACAATTGTTAAACACTGATCAAACACTGGTTAGCAATTGTAAAACACTGATCCAACAATGGTAAACAATTGTAAAACACTGATCCAACATTGGTAAAACAATTGTAAAACACTGATCCAACATTGGTAAAACAATTGTAAAACACTGATCCAACATTGGTAAAACAATTGTTAAACACTGATCAAACACTGGTTAGCAATTGTAAAACACTGATCCAACAATGGTAAACAATTGTAAAACACTGATCCAGCATTGGTAAACAATTGTAAAACACACTATCCAACATTGGTAAAACAATTGTAAAACACTGATCCAACATTGGTAAAACAATTGTAAAACACTGATCCAACATTGGTAAAACAATTGTAAAACACTGATCCAACATTGGTAAAACAATTGTAAAACACTGATCCAACATTGGTAAACAATTGTGAAACACTGATCCAACATTGGTAAACAATTGTGAAACACTGATCCAACATTGGTAAACAATTGTAAAACACTGATCCAACATTGGTAAACAATCGTAAAACACTGATCCAACACTGGTAAAACAATTGTTGAACACTGATCCAACATTGGTAAACAATTGTTAAACACTGATCCAACATTGGCAAAACAATTGTAAAACACTGATCCAACATTGGTAAAACAAAGGCCAAAAACAGTCCTAATAGTTATAGGCGCTAGCGGAGGCTGTCACTTCAGATGGTTGGGTAGGCAAAGTTATATGAGGAACTGATTAGTCATCATCAAGATGTATTGATTAACCCAACTCTCTTTTGGGGCTTAGGAAATCGTTGGTGGGCAAGTCATACTGGTCGTTTATTTCGGCTATATCTTCAACATGTGCTTACATAAACATTTATATCATCATGCCATGCCACACCAGAAGAAACATGTGTTAACTAAATGGATTGTTTGTTCCATTCTCAGATGGACTACAGCAGCTATGTTATGATTTAACCTCAAAACTTGGTTTAACCACAGTATTTTGACCTCAGTGTTCAACATGTAACACTTACTATTGACCGTGTAGATCCGGGGTAGAATCATCTTCCCGAGGCAAGAGAGTTAACTGACTATAAAAGTCCAGTTTCCACCCTTGCCGAACTAGGCTGGTATTATGGAGTTACATTTTGGCTGGACTAACGAGTCTTTGCATAGGCCAATCAAAATCGTGCAACGAAATCGAAATCCGGTTCGTAAACTGTCGTGTAGATTTCGGTCAATTGCAGGATTTGCAAAACATGTACACCGCCAACTCGTTGTCAACAAGTATTTTCCAGATCTTTTCATGTTTTTAAGGAAGGTCCTCACGCAATTTGATGCACTTCCCGTTGTAAGACCCGTGTTATCACAATATAGAACGTGATTGTCGATCAGATCGTCTTGACTGGGCGCCGCTGTTTTGTTTGAAGCAAATGCAAGTGATACGAGAGATGGAATGTGGTTGGTCCATAGGAGAGGCATAGAAGGGACATAACTCGTAATAGCCACTGGTGGCGCTACAATCGAGCCCAGGAATTCCAGCCTGGTTCGGCAAGGGTGGAAACAGGACTTTTAAAGTCAGTTAACTCTCTTGCCTCGGGAAGATGGCTGAATTCCATTCAGGTTAGGTCTTCCTAAGTCCTATGTATGTATTTAATGTATGAATCTGAATTTATTTTGGAGTGTATGTATCTATATACGTATGTATGTATGTGGTAGTAAACCCAACATCCAAGCTCACCTGGTAGTTTATCTGACGCTCATCCGAATAACATCAAGGCCATGATGTACAGGAGCGGTTTTGATTGGACTATGCAAAGACTCGTTAGACCAGCCTAGTTCGGCAAGTGTGGAAACTGGACTTTTATAGTCAGTTAACTCTCTTGCCTCGGGAAGATGAATTCAACATGCGATTGCAGCCTTAGAGCAAATGAATCTTTGGAAGTGGAGGGATGCTTTTCGTGATAAGATTAATGCAAAATAAACAGAAACAATCTTTGTTCTGTAGTCGTGTTATTTGTGTTGAAAACATATCACTAAATGAGTTAGTTATTGTAACATGTTTTTAATACAACCCATAATATATGTTTAGTCTGCTACCAAAATAGGAGTGACCGTCCCTCAGCAATTGTGTTACGCGAGAATCACATGGAGGAAACTAGTTTCAAAATAGACGTTGAGTACACTTACTTGCATCTGGATGGGCTCGTGTTATTCCTTCTGAAACCAATGAACATTAAAGATGATATACAGTTGGGGAAGGGGGTGTTATGCAGAGATTTCTATTGGATATGGAAAGGGTTTTATCGTTTTATTTATATATTGTCCACCCAGGGTCAATCCTGGCTGAAAATCCCTTTCCATAAATGAGTGAGTGAGTATGGTTTTACGCCACGTTTAGCAATATTCCAGCAATATCACGGCGGGGGACACCAGAAATGGGCTTCACACAATGTACCCATGTCGGGAATCGAACCCGGGTCTTCGGCGTGACGAGCGAACGCTTTAACCACTAGGCTACCCGACCGCCCCCTTTCCATAAATGAAAATGACAGAGACAAAGAAGTTCTGATATGGTGAAGCTTGCAATAACGAGCCAGGTGAAGCCCTGGTAGAGACAATGGATCCAAGTTTAGACGACATGTTGCAGCTATTGGTCCTGCAGTGATCCGGAACATGTCTGCAGGGGTGTATCAACTACCATTTGATTTGAAAACAGAACAAACCGCATTTGCCAGTTCACAGAATCACAAAACTGATGCAGGTCCCAGACGTTTACCACTTCGGTGAAACCCACGAGCACGGGTATGGTGCTGACAAACCTAGAAACATAATCGGGGCGAACCGGGATTCGAACCCACAATCATAGGATTCTGGCGTGCCCCAGGGACGCAACTCTGCATAGCGAATCGCGGGTATACTGTATAAAAGGAGATATTGCTGACATTGTGGGTGGCAGGTCCGCTCTTTTGTCTAAGCAGCAACAATTAAGTCTTCTGTTTCCTGCACAAGGCGGTGAGCTTAGAAAAGACTGTTGACATTCACGATGCTTATGAATTACACTTAAAACATTCAATTTTTTACATTGTCTAATCTGATGACAAACGTATTGTTCATACTCTGAACTGTAAACTCTAATACCGTATTCGACGTAATAAGCGCCCAGGGCGCTCTCAAAAATAGAAATAGGGGGCTCTTATTAGAATATTATTTTGGTGGAAAAAACAGAGTTGAAAGATAAATTTCGTGGTTTATGCTGACGGCCTGAACTGTTCATATACGACAGATATATTTTTCTAGAATTGAATTGCCAATAATTAAGGGTGTATATAACATACGAGTGCGTATTATACACGAATAAATAACTCTTGTGTACATTGATCAATCGGAAGGGGTGGTAATTTGGATTGTCCACTTTATTGGATTGTCCGCGTTTATTACGTCGAATACGGTATTAACTTTTCTTCAAAATTCGTGAACCTCGTACGGTGTACATGCTTACAACAGGATACGATCACGAAATCGTCCACTAATGTTGCCTGAAACTAAGGCGAATTTTCTAAGATGCAATCGTTTCTGATCTGAAATGTGTGTAATATTAGCCAGGAAAGCTGCAGAAACAGCCATCCAGTTTTGTTGTTGTTGTTGTTGTTATCATATTTCCATATTTTGACTTTTGGAATATTGCTGATGTTATCATGCTATGTACACATCGCGAGTATGCAGTAACTGCTCGAGTTGTTCAGCGTCTGCAACCACAATGAAACACTGCAGGTACAAGCCCTCTATGTATAGGCAGGCTGAGGAGGCACTACGGGTAGCTCAAAGGAGGCAGAAAAGAGGCAGAAGCATTGCCATGGTGTCTCAAGTGTTGTCGTGGTCGCCGAAAGGAGGCACGGCGATCGCCATACTCATGGTTCAATGCACCTGTGGGTCGCCCAAAGAAGGCACAAGGGAGGCAGAAGCATCGCCCAGATTTACGACAATATTTCAGCAGAACGCATCTATTACCTGGCGACCATTGGGCGACCACTGTGCCTTCATTCTGCAACAACGGCAATGCTTGTGCCTCCCTTCTGCCTCCTTTGAGCCACCTTTGAGCAACCAACCTCCTCGGCGACCTTTGTGCGACTGTTTTGAACATGTTCAAAAAATCACGGCGACCATGGCGTCCATGGCGATGTCTGAACCTCCTGTGTACCGCCTTGGAACGACCTAGGCAACCATTCCTTTGAGCCTCCAACGACGACCTGGCAAATTCTATGGTCGCACACGGGAGGCACAAAGGTCGCTATCCTGTGTAAAGGCCCCATTACATAGAAACATAATTTTCTGGGTTTAGGCGACCATTTAGCGTCCTAGCCAGTTTTTGAACACTCAAAGGTGGCACAAAGGTCGCTGTCATGTGTAAAGGGGGCTTTAGGTCAAAGTTTGCCATGGCCAGTTCGCCAAGTGAACACATCAGAGACCAACTTTACCGTCAGATTAGAACACGATCTTACCTAACAGTAAACAGACGTGAAAAATGGAATGACACACCTAATACCGAAGAGAGTCTGATGAACACTGCAAGACGTCGTGTGAGGGCATGGCTTGAAGCCAATGCGGTAAACGCGCGACATCGGCTGTGCCAAAATCAACTTCTTTACAGTTATTCGTGACCAACTCGTGTTATTCCGGGACAAGCCGAATTACTTCTTGCAGGTTACGGAAAGAGGCGAGTGGTGACGAATGCTTTACAGCTTGACTTTAATATCCACCATATTGTATTATACTGCGACTCCAAAATACACCCCTAGTCCTTGTTGGCCTCGTGGGTCCTGTGTCTTTACTGTCACTGGATTTAAATTCTGGATCGTTGTTGTCTATTTGCTTATGTCATAATGAGTGAGTGAGTGAGTGATTTGGATTTAACGCCGCTTTTAACAGTATTCCAGTTATATCGCGGCGTGTCAGCTTAATGTGGGAGGAAAGCTCGAAGTGATGCGGGTCTTAGACGTTTACCACTTCGGTGAAACCCACGAGCACGGGTATGGTGCTGACAAACCTAGAAACATAACCGGGACGAACCAGGATTCGAACCCACAATCCTAGGTTTCTGGCGTGCCCAACTCTGCACAGCGAATCGCGGCGCCTTAGACGACTGGGCCACCCGTGCCCCCTTATGTCATAATGACAGTGTACAGTTTATAAAAATTTTTTGGTGAAGACGTTCATGTAGTTTGGTATAGCTTTTTTACTTGTCAGTCTCTGTTAACGTTTTTAGGTACCATCATTTTCATTGGGTGCATTTGTTTATTTGACACGTGATTTTCTGTTTTCTGGTGTGATTGATAATCTCTGGTCACGACGAAAACATTTCAATATATCTTTTAGGAATGTAAAATTTCCCGTCGTATTTATTTTTTGTTTTATGATAAATAAATGTATATTAGAAGATGTAAATTCTAAAAACAATTTGTGGACTTTTTTAACCTTATTAAGACGATATTTTGGAAAGGTTATAAAATCGACAACTGCACAATATTGTAAAATATAGGTAAATTTTGAATATGTATTATACATAAATCCAATTCGATTAGGTTTTGGAAAAAAATGGAATTACAAAGAATATTTAAGAAAACTTCAACAGTGAGGAGAAAATGTCATTCTGTTGAACTGTTCATTCATGACGCTCTTCAAATTAATTCAGTTGTCAAAAGCTTGTGAAAGTGAACAACTTGTTATGCGTCGTTGATCTGCCTTTACTTACCTGCTATAGGAACAATGCAGGCGAGCAGCAGCATCAACAACGTAGCCGTCTTCATCTTGATTTGGGGCTCATCGACGATCTTACTGATTATTTATCACTGAGGCCTCGTCCGGGTCGATTCGTCATAAGCGCTAAGTGTTTTATTGATGATAATGTCGCATAACAACTTAGTTTAATAATTCAGTGACAGATGTGTATTTCCTGATTTATTATCAGTCAACCAGTCCTAGCTTCAGAGCCATTTGGCTCAATTTTATTTCATTTCATGCAGCTGTTACACATTTTAAAAACTTACTTTCACACTTAGGCCATCCATACTTGTGTTTCAGGTAACCAGACCGACCAATTGTTGTACTTATGACCCAATCGTCAACAAATCCACATTTTACAAGTAGCAAAAGAATTGGATATTTCCACATATTATCTTTATTGTCTAAGCTGTAGCTATTTTGATGGCGATCTGCATTAAACATTATCAATGCAAAATATTAAATAAAAATACAACCTATCTACCGATCCAAATCTGTCGGGGCCATAATACCTGAAACATAAAATTTCTTTCTGTTGGCCTGAAACATAAAACGATATAGATTTGACATGCACTTTAACAAGTGAAATTTTATTACTGTTGTTGTGCCGGGAATTACGAAATTTCGTCGGAAATATATGCATAAAAGGTATCAGGACAATCTACAACATGTTGCAACTATTCCAAACAACCAATTAATGTTTCTCCTATCACGTCATAGTTCGAGCTGACTCGTCAAATCCTGCTCCATTATGTAGCTGCACAGAACAGATCCAACATGTGCGGGACCAGAGACTGTTCCGTGGACGAACATTAAACATGGGGTGTCATCGAAAGTAATTAAATATCAGCATGATTAGCGTGATTAGGTTCTCCTGTCTTTATCAGCTGGTCTACATATTGTTTTTATCAAAATCATTGGTCGCTGGTCAAAATAAATTATTGAATAAATGGACTATTGTTTAGGTTTTAAGAATATAGGTACTGTACGATGAGAAGAAGTGAAATGTCAAATTCACTATTTCCCTATTGGTGCATATTTGTGAAGTGTGCGAGGAAACAGTATTTATAGTGTTTATATGGGAACAAAACTACAAACTGTTTGGAGTGCCAGTGAAGCTATGAATAGTATTTGAACAAAAGTTTAATATATACAAGTCATTGAGCACTTGTTCATGTTTGTCCCAGTCGGACATTGAACGAATTTGTGATTTATTTCACTTCCATGATTATCAGACTCAGCATTAATCATGTGAATAAAAGAACCTTTGAACTGGAATTTTTATGTTTTTTCACTTTCCTGAATTTAATGGTGGCCAGTGATAAGATTAAAATTATGAACATAAAAAACTTCCAGATAGTAAACACATTGCCCAGCTGTCAAACATACAACCATTTTGCTGACCTTTATATCATGTATACATTTAGCAGTTGGCTTACTTCTACGAATTCCAAGCTTTGGATTCCAGCTTCTAGAGCCACAATCCACAATCAGAAAATGAAATTAAAAAATATTTATTTTATTGCCAAACTGCTCTTTCTTTGATGGACAACAAAATTTCAATTTACAACTACAAAATGTAATTAACGATTAACTTCATGAATAACGATTCATTCAATACATTTAATGTCGTCTCTGAACTCTGCAAACCTCTTTCGAAGAGACAGAATCCGTCATGAATGTAAAGACAGATACATGAGATAAATGATCAATACTGTAACAATATTTAACATCGTGCTCTTTAAACAGTCCTGCAAGCATTTTTTTCAACTAAAGGAACCGACTTTAGCGACTTCATGCCAAAAATAATGCACGCATATTGAACGACACATCTGATTTTTATTTATTCGCACACTGACGTACGTACGGTGGCCCATACCCGCCCTGGTGAGATCATTTTTCACTGTATGCCTCTATATTTTATCTGGCGGCCTCCAAATACTTTTCTGTCGGCCGCCAGATACTTCCACTGGTGAGATCATTTTTCACTGTATGCCTCTATATTTTGCCAGAATTACTTCCAGATCAGTGCCCTGGCAATCGTCAGGTTGGAGATTGTATCCGAAAGATTGAGCTTTGATTCTAAAGTAGGTATCACCTGCTTGATGAGCCATCAGCAGAGAATTAGATCTCACCAGTTGAAGTAATATAGAGGCATACAGTGAAAAATGATCTCACCAGTGGAAGTATCTGGCGGCCGACAGATAAAATATAGAGGTATACAGGGAAAAATGATCTCACCAGTGGAAGTATCTGGCGGCCGACAGATAAAATATAGAGGTATACAGGGAAAAATGATCTCACCAGTGGAAGTATCTGGCGGCCGACAGATAAAATATAGAGGTATACAGGGAAAAATGATCTCACCAGTGGCGGGTATGGGCCACCGTACGCAATCTTATTGGCTAGAATAAGTCTGTAAGCCATACAACATAAAATGTGTCCTTATTGTCGCACGCCGCTGATAATATATGAGTTTGTGATATATCTTGCGTAAATCTTCAACATATTGTTTATTTTGATCTTGAGCGCCAGCCCATGTCACCTCTGTCAGTAATATTTGGAAACTTACCGATAAACATGGTAACGCCTATAACTAACGCCTAAAGAAACCTTTATATTTTGGTTTCAGACAGCATGTTTACCGTGTTTCTTCTGAACAACAAGGGGGCACGGGTGGCCCAGTCGTCTAAGGCGCCGCGATTTGCTGTGCAGAGTTGCGTCCCTTAGGCACGCCAGAAACCAATGATTGTGGGTTCGAATCCCGGTTCGCCCCGATTATGTTTCTAGGTTTGTCAGCACCATACCCGTGCTCGTGGGTTTCACCAAAGTGGTAAACGTCTGAGACCTGCATCACTTCGGGCTTTCCTCCCACATTAAGCTGACACGCCGTGATATAACTGGAATACTGTTAAAAGCGGCGTTAAACCCAACTCACTCACTCACTCACTCTAAACAACATGAACAATTCTAAAAGTAGCGTCTGCCATCATGTTCAACTTTTTCAAGTGTGGGCTGATATTTTGACGTATTTGCTCAGCAATAAGGGGATAAAACAAGGATTGGTCGGCTCGCAGTCAGTATCTGAGTGGGATGTCTTTGTTAAACTGCGGTGTGGTATCTCAGTAGACTAGCACTAACAAAACAGCATTAGTCCGGGCTTGTCCAAGCACACACACGCGCATGCATGTCGCTATAAACGGTCAATAGTCTTTAATATGGCGTTAAAACCCATTTCACCTCACCTTACCTCGCTTACATTCTTTGCATATCCTACACATTTATATCCCCTTTGATATCCACTTGATAAAATGTTGTTCTTTAATCTGTTACTTTGTGAACCCAGTTATATTACTTTAAGCGATATGTTCAATAGTTCAATGTTTGAGAACTACTGGCTGGAATCCATATTGCAACTAGTTCAATGTTTGACAACTGATGTCAGCCACTACTGGCTGGAATCCATATTGCAACTAGTTCAATGTTTGAGAACTGATGTCAGCCACTACTTGCAGGAATCCATATTGCAACTAGTTCAATGTTTGAGAACTGATGTCATCCACTACTTGCAGGAATCCACATTGCAACTAGTTCAACGTTTGAGAACTGATGTCAGCCACTACTGGCAGGAATCCATATTGAAACTGGTTTCAAGTACATGACTGTCACATGGCCAACAGTTGATGATACATAACAGTTCAAATATTTTTAATTTCAAGTTTACACGATATATCTCTTTTCCATTGGACGAGAGGTCGATCACATGACAGCGAAACTGAAGTTTATAAGTGTATTTATTACCTACGAGGGCACACAAATCCGGGTTCATAAAAATCATATGTGCCCTAGGGTCATATCACATCACGAGACAACAGTGTATTGTTTCCGTCATCCGGACGGCATTTTTGACGTCATTCGAATCTTATTATGACGTGAGGTCGGAATGACGTCGCACTAGAAACGACATCATAGCTGAAGACTGTTGACATCATTCGACAAATTGTGGTTCCTCTGCTGTTGCGACTTGCTGTCCTTATAGTAAACACTAAAATTCTAAAAACACTAAATGTCTCTGTATGTAGACATCTTCTTCGGTAATAAATATACCATTATATTCGCGTTCATGTCATACTATGTTTACGACACTGGTGCCTAAATTCCGGTATTTTCCTCGCTTTACCTCGGGATATACCTCGCGTCGTAAACATAGTATGACATGAACACTCATAATATCCTCTATGAACGACATATTTTGACGTTCATACGTATTTCACGAGACTGTATTCTTGAAATGACGTAAACACTGACGGATTACTTCCACATTCCTGGGGAATCCCATGGGGAGTCCTTAGTTCGAAAAAATACAAAAGCGTTGTTTCTCACTTTAGACCTTTTAATCTTGAACTTAGCCTTTTAGCATACATTGGGGTAAGTCATTGAGTTTGACTGCATGCTTGTTCAAGGATAATCTCGTCACAACCTAAAACAAAACGATGAAAAGCACATCGAAACTATCGTAGTATCGACTCGATCCGTGTCTAGGCTATAGCGGCAGTCTTCGGCAATCTATAAATTTACCTTAGTATTTATGAGACACATCTTTACAATCAATGGTCGGCCAATTGATCAGTGTTGACTAACACTTGTAATAGCCACAGGTTCATTAACAACTTCGGAAATCCTTGCATCACGTTTACCGTGTCGGCCATGTTGACTTCTTGTATTTGATGTAAATGTATTTAGACGCGCTGTCATTGTGACAGACATACTGAGGTATGAACGTACGTTCATACAGTTTGACCCTCACTCTATGAAGGTTCATACTCCAATGAACACACACAAAGTGAAAGTCAATTCTTAAATGTACGCCTAATTTCTGGTTAGCACAGAACAACATGTCTTTGTGCGCAGGATGTGTCGTTACATTGTTTATAGTGAAATAATGCAGTATCACTACTCAGTTGCTGCGAGAGGTATCACCGTATTTCCTCTAATAAGCGCCATTCTTTGAACAAGTTCCCAACCAGGTCTGTAATTAAGACCCTGTGATTGCCTAATTTGTTTTTTTACAACACACATAAATAAGTATGAAAATATTTTTTAAAACATTCCTAACTGTAAAATATTACACTAAACATGTTATTCGGCAACAATCATGAGAGGAAGGCACCCCTGTTCTAGACTGGTTTACCTGCCTTAGAGCGTTTGCGCTCCTCGCCTGCAGCCGCTGGGAGGCGAAGTGCAGGGTATCAGTCTAACTCTATCCGACCTATTTCCCCATACAGCATTTCGCCGCGGTGAACCATTGACCTATTTCCGTGAAACGGGTCTGTCTGTCAAGAGGGACGGAGACAAGCCTTCAATATATCACTATGCGGATACGTTGACCCATTACCGTGGCGCGTATGTGACTGTCGAGAGGGACGGGGACAGACCTAAAGTATATCGCTATGTGGGACACACTTGTTGATAAAAGTGGCAAAAATCCTCGGAATTTTTCCACTTTTATCAACTCGTGTTGATATATTTGATATCAAAAGACACTCGTGTGAGATTCTCTATTAATTAGATTCACGGTGTTTATTAGAGACAATACGCTGTGTATGGGACGGAGTAAGACGCGTGGGCCCCATTGAATTCGGGTCCTGCAAGGTTGTCTCCTTTGGTTGGCTGCAGAGGGCGGGTTTGGTGTTATAGAGAGGGGAGGAGGGGGAGAATGTCCTCCCTTACGTGAACACACCCCTAAAGTACATCCTTATAAATGGAGCTCACGCATTCATTCAGAGGTAAATAAATAAAACGCCTTTCATGATCGCAAGAGGTACACGATATGGACCATGTTTATTTCTTCTTCTGATGTTGAGTACAGATACAGCCAAACCCCAAGGGAGTGAATGTTTAGTGTACGTTTCTTGCAAGATCTCGATCTGAAAACAATATATTGTTTTACAAATGTAAAGAAGTAAACATTAATGAAAAGTTATTCTTATATGTAAAGGAGTGCAACATAAATATCAATACAAAAACACCAATTCCCTTTTACATCCAATCAAAACCATCATCTACCACATCCTCCTCGCCAACCTACATCCACCAACTGCCACAGTCTCCCCATCTACCCACTACCACAACCTCCCCATCTACCCACTACCACAAACATCCTTAATCTACCCACTACCACAGCCAATCCCAACCTATCGACATCTACCCACTTCCTCCCCATCTATCGACATCTACCCACTACCACAGCCAATCCCAATCTATCGACATCTACCCACTACCACAGCCAATCCCAATATATTGACATCTACCCACTTCCTCCCCATCTATCGACATCTAACCACTACCACAACCTCCTCATGTATCGACATCTACCCACTGCCACCCCCACCCCCCATCATCCCACCCCACCCATATATATATATATATATATATATATATATATATATACATCTACCCACTTCGACAAACCTCCCCATCTACCCACTACCACAAACATCCTTCATCTACCCACTACCACAGCCAATCCAAATATATCGACATCTACCCACTACCAAAGCCAATCCCAATCTATCGACATCTACCCACTACCACAGCCAATCCCAATCTATCGACATCTACCCACTTCCTCCCCATCTATCGACATCTACCCACTACCACAGCCAATCACAATCTAGCGAAATCTACCCACTTCCTCCCCCATCTATCTACATCTACCCACTACCACAGCCAATCCCAATCTATCGACATCTACCCACTACCACAGCCAATCCCAATCTATCGACATCTACCCTCTTCCACAACTTCCCTATCTATCGACATCTACCCACTTCCTCCCCATCTATCGACATCTACCCACTACCACAACCTCCCCATCTCTCGACATCTACCTACTTCCACAACCTCCCCATCTATCTACATCTACCCACTACCACAACCTCCCCATCTATCGACATCTACCCACTACCACAACCTCCCCATCTACCTACATCTACCCACTACCACAACCTCCCCATTTATCTACATCTACCCACTACCACAACCTCCCCATCTATCTACATCTACCCACTACCACAACCTCCCCATCTATCTACATCTACCCACTACCACAACCTCCCCATCTACCTACATCTACCCACTACCACAA